TACATGTAGAAGATCTTTTTGTACAAGTTTTTAAGAGATGAACGTTGTTGAAGCTCCCCGTCTTCTGATTGGCTGATTCCTTCCTTTGTTCCTAAATGTTCTGCCTTTATAACCATTTAATATAGAACAACTAAGATATGATGTTAAACTTCTCAGTAAAATCAGTAGACAGATTACTGCATTTTCAGCAGGTTTGTTCTGTGAAAATATAACAAGAACAGAGTATTAAAGCAGCTTCACACTTCCTGTCTGTGGATCTGTTTCAACATGTCGACCTTTCTGCCTCAAAGATGACTTTACCAGTTAACAAACGTGTGGATCCTGTTTTCTTTCACAATAAAAGGTAGCTTGACTTCTTTTGTTTTTCCTGCTTATAAACAAGATGCAGCAGCTAAACTGTTGTTTTTGGGTGGTTTTGAAGAAGTGCATTCAGTAGTTATTGGCTAAACAAAGAGCAAACATTTGCTCACATGGTTTGATTAAGGGAGTTTATCTGTTCCTGCAAAGAAAATACCACTCTGACGCTGATTTGGAGATGAGTTAGCAGGGTAGGAATGAGATCAGAGATCATGTTTCTGCTTAATGATCAGGCTCATTAGTTTAGTCATAGCTGCTAATACCCACAGATTCACAAAGCTATACTGAACTGTGTGAAGCTTACAGGTTCAGGTCCAGCAGCTCTCGCCATGTTTTAATAGAGAAGGCAGACGTGTGGGAACCAAAACTTTTCTAATCAGAATTCGGACTTTAGGGGATGTAAAATCGCAACTTGGTTAAAATGAACTCTTTTCTGGATGCTTCTAGAAAGCTTTGCTTTGGTTCCAGGTTCAGTGAAACATCTCAAACAAGTCCAAAGGTTTTGACTATACTATCAAGGCTGCAGCTGTTAAAACTGTTGCCTTGCAGCAACAGTGACTGCTTTTCTGGTCTCCCTGTGATTGCCCTGGTTGTCCTCTTGTTTTCTTATAAAAACATGGCTACTAGGTCCTCAGGACGCTGTAAATAGCCCTCAGGTGTCGCCGTGCATGGCTTGTCCTGTGTATCTCTGCACTAATGTGACATTATCTGTTAAACATTTTGCCTTCTTGCCTCAGGTCTCAGCTTGCAGACATGGCCACAGCCAGCTGTCTCCTTTCTGAGGACCAGTTTCGGTGCTTCATATGTCAGAATGTCTTCACGGATCTGGTCAGCACACTATGTGGACACAACTTCTGCAAGAACTTCATCACAGAAACCTCCCATGCTGATGTCCCGTTTCAGTGTCCAATCTGTCAAAGGAAAACCAGAGCTGCAGGTCAACACTCTGATAGCTGAGCTGCTGGACATGTTCAGAAGGTCAGCTCAGCACCAGAACCCAGTTAGAGGAGATTTCTTCTTTAGAACTAGAAGTAATGCCTTTAAAATATTTTTATTTACTCTTTTCTTGATTGTATCCTCCCAAGTAAAATACTGCTATCATCTGAAAGAGGAAGCAAAGGGAGAGAATCCAGAATCACCAGAAGAAAACATGCTTTCTGCCGTTCACCTGGAGCAGCTTTTCACTGAGGTGATGAAGAAAGAAATCCCCAGACTGTTGATCCGAGCCGAGCTAATGAAGGCTCAACGCTACGAGGTGGATGTTACTCTGGATCCAGACACTCTGCACCCCAAACTTGTCCTGTCGGCTGACAGGAAACAAGTGAGATGTTGTGATCCACAGAAGAATCTCCCACATGACCAAAAGAGGTTTATGTATTGTAAATACGTTTTAGGGGAGCAGAGTTTCTCCTCAGGTAGGTTCTACTTCGAGGTCCAGGTGAAAGGAAAGACTAACTGGACTTTAGGGCTGGCCAAAGAGTCAGTCAAAAGGATGGGACTCATCAGACTCAGCCCCCAGTTTGGTTACTGGTCCTTAACTGTGAGGAATGGAAAGGAGTACAGTGGTCTGTCTGAGCCTCCAGTCCATTTCTCTCTTCAGTCTCGTCCTGAAAAGGTGGGGGTGTTTGTGGATTACGAGGAGGGTCTGGTCTTCTTTTATGA